CTGCCGACCCAAGTAACAAAACCGTTGAAGCAGTCCAAAGAGATGAAGGGTCGAGAACGAGAGGTTCAGTGAAGGGCACTGCGGAAAAGAGCTTCAGATCTTTAAGGGACCCGGGCACCTAAGATGATTTCAAGAAGTGGGCTAGGAGGTAGAATAATAGAAAGATGAAAAGGAGTCAGGGAAGCTCTCCCGCGGGATAAGCAAGGCGTTCAAATGACCTAGATACCTAGATGGCTAGTACGACGTTCGTACAGTGGTTGGCGGTACATTCGTACCTCGTACACCACTTCGAACCTCCCCGGCCGCAACAGAGCTGCGTCCAGCTCCTGAGCCAGGTTGGTGGCCCCTATGGTGAGAACCTGAACAGGGGGTGAGAGGGGGGACAGACGGGGAGATGTGTGTGTGTATGTATGTAGGGGGGTGCTGCTATGCCGCCCATATCTCCCTGCGCGGCTCCTGCTCCCCCACCTTCACCTCTCCCTTCCCATCGCCATCCACACACACACACACACGCACGCACGCACACACACACACACACCTGCTCGGTCTTGTTGGTGATACCGTCCATCTGTACCAGCATGGCCAGCAGCGCCGACTCCCTCTCCATGGAGCCGGGGTCCCCCCCCAGGGTGGACCTGGCCCGGCCGATAGCGTCGATCTCGTCAATGAAGATGATGGCGGGCGCCTTCTTGCGGGCATTGTAAAACAGGTTGTTGACACGGGCAGCTGCCACGCCTGCGATACACACATACATACACATTACACACAGATATTGCTGATATTGACTACTTTCTCACCCGCTCGAGTGACATCGTTAACACCTAACCTTCCCGAGTTGCTCAGTCCATTCCACCACACATACCAGCAAACGGTGGGGTGAGAGGAAGGGCGGTGCGGGTGATTAGTGCGGGGATGGGGGCAGCTGAGGCGCGGTGGAGAGAGGGGTTCCGAGGGGGTGAGCGGCAAACAAAGGCCCATTCCGCCGTTGTGTAACGATAACCGCCATTATGGTGTGCATAACCGGGTACGGCAGGTAAAACCCTAAAAGGCCTTCCCGACATGACTTTCGAGTCACCTCTCCCCCCATCCCACACAAACAATATCCAACCCGAGCCCTTGGTTTAAGACGTACTATGTACGGCACAGGAGCTGTACGGCCACCCCCCCCCGCATCTTCCTTCTCTATGAATTCCGCACTGCTGCAACAGCCTCCAACCGTTTCCAACCACCCAACCGCCAGGCAAAACGTACCGGCAAACATCTCAACGAACTCCGACCCCACGGAGGAGAAGAAGGGCACCCCCGCCTCCCCGGCTATGGCTCGAGCCAAGTAGGTCTTGCCCGTGCCAGGGGGACCTTGGAAAATGATGCCCTGCGTGTGTGCGTATGTATGTATGTATGTACTTACGTACTTATATGTTGGGGGACGGTGAAGTTTTAAGTGGTCAGAGAGGTGTCCAAATGAACTGTGAACCGGGCCGGGGGCCGGGGGGAATCATATAATGATGACGACGATGACGATGATGATTGATGATGCGAAAGTGGAAAAGACATTAATTGACGACGAGGAGAGGGGCCAGGGGTGAGAACGGGGGAGAAAAAATCAACTACCATGGACAGGACATGGGCAGGAAGGAAAAGAACATCACCCCAAAAAACTCCCACGAGGTGGGCCAGTGGTCCGTTCCCCCCCTTTCCCACATCCCCATTGCTTCGGACCCCGGCAATTGTTGTTCTGTATGTATCTCAGCAGACGTATCTTACAGCGCAGGGCTTTCGTCATTACATATTGGGCTCCTCCCCTCCCCTCCCCTCTTCCCTCCCCTCCCCTCAGGCCCACACGTACCTTGGGGCACCTGGCCCCCACCTTCACGTAGGCGGGGTCCCCCTTGAGCATCCGCACCACCTCCCGCATCTCCACCACCAGGTAGTCCATACCCGCTATGTCCTCGAACCGAACACCCGTGTCGCGCATCTGGGGGGGGGGGAGGGTTGGCCGCATGAGAGGGAGACGGGGGTTACATGCACCCGACGGGCAGGACCGAGACAGGATTACATCACGGAATTGATCTACACATGAGTAAACATTCACGTGACCATTTTGACTGTTGCGTGATGATGATGATGATGATGATGATGATGATGATGATGATGATAAAATAATGATGATGAAATAATGATGATGATCTGGGACGAGCATCGTAAAGGGTACGAAGGGCTCACTTAAAACCTTTGTAACGCTCCCCGCCTAAGCGAGCCCCACGCACCACGCACATCGTAACTTTCCGGACCAGATGGTTCTCCAACCACGGTAAGGAATAATTTGAAAGGAAATAATCTACGTCTGGATCCAGACGTATCCTGACAGATTACTTGAGTCGCAATTAGTTCTGCTTCCACAGAATTGCGCGATCGTGGTGATATTACAATGACGGTGGAATGGGTGCCAGGAAAATATGATGAACAATGCGCACAAACAGGAACACATTCAAACGTTTTTTCTTAGAGATTTCAAATACGATTTGGATACAGAGAAAAGCCCACAGAAAAGGACAGGTGGATGGACACGAACAGCCAGATCAACACCGACATATCGACATGTCGACATATCGACAAATCCCAACCCTCCACCTCCTACCCCGCCCTACCCCACCCCACCTCATTCACCCACCCACCTTGCCGGTCTTCTCATCCTTTGTCATGAACTCCCGCGCCCTGCTGCTGGTGAGTCGCTCCCACTGGCTCTCCTTCTTCTCCTGCTTGGACATCTTCTTGGGGTCCTTGGCCTTACCGCCCTTGCCGCCCTTGCCCTCACCGCGAAGCTTACCCCAGGAAACACGGAACAACTGGAATAGGGGGGAGCCTGACATACATACATACAGACAGACAGGGAGATAGGGAGGGCGGAAAGAGCAGGAAAAGATGGCGGGGAATAAATACCAAGCCGGGGGGAAGGGGGAGAAATCGTGGAGGGGTACGGGTGGACTTTGAGGAGAGATGGGAGAGGGAATGTTGGTGCAAAGTGCAAATAGATGTCACAACTTCTTCCCTGGGCCTCACCGACTACCCATCCACCCACTCACCCACGCGCCCTACAGCCAGTAAAAGAAAGCCTTTAGAAAGCGCTCTGACGCAAGCGATACGGTAAACACACTCTTCTCCCACCTCCCCCCACCCTCGCACACACAGACACACATACCTAAGGACAGCGCAGTGACGATTCCCAGCAACCTCAGTGCTATGGCCACACACGCCGCCTTCTCGTAGAACTCCAGTCGGGCGGGGTGCAGCAGCCAGCCCAGGAAGTCCCAGCTGGGGTTGTGGGGGATGGGTGTGTGTGGGGGGTTGAGGAAGAGGTGAGGGAAGGGGTGAGGGTGAGGGTGACAGACTTTTGTCTCCCCTTTTCCCGCTGAAACCTGGGAAAACTATGAAGACCATTCCATGCCGACACGACCCCATGTCGGGGTCTAGTCGCATCTGTGCTATGGCTCACAGCTGTGTTTTTGGGTCGCCTTTTCCCCTCCCTCCCATCCCTTTCCCACCTCCCTCCCCTTCCTCACCTCCCTCCCCTCCACCCTTCACCACCTCCCTCCCCTTCACCACCCCCCTCCCCACACTGCACCCCCGCCAAATCCATCAGGCCCACCTCTCCTGCGGATCCAGCAGCTGAACCTCCGTGGTCACCTGGAACACCTTCTTCTGAGACCTGTACGGCAACACGTACTGCCGTGACACGGGATCCCACACCGCCCCTGCCGTACGGCTGGCAGCCAGATGCGCCTGCAGTACTCCACTCTCCCAGAAGTCCCCCGGCAGGTCCACGTAGAAGCGGTACTTCTCCATGTCCCACTCGGGCATCTCCGTACAAAACCACTGGCTGCGAATGTTGTGTGTTTGTGTGTGAGTACAAAGGGGGAAAGTGAGGATCATATCATGCAAGAAGCAAAAACACTCAACTTTCGCCGCCCGCAGGTGTGTGTGTGTGTATGTGTAGCGGTGGGGGAGGGGGCGGGAGGGGGGTTCGGGATGCGCGGAGTACGGCACTGTCTTCCCATACCCGCCATCCTGTCCACACCCCGTCTGGTGACTTCCCCCCTTCAAAACCTCTTCCACCGTTTCCTCCATTATCACAGCTAGCAACCCCAGCCAGAAATCTCAGTCTTCGGTGTCCTCCCGCCCTCCCCCCCTTCCACACACACACACAAACACAAACCCTAAGCCCATTACCCCTTCCCGGCGCCCCAAAAGCCCAGAGCCCCCAGTCAACCCGAGCTCACGTGACGTCTTGTGGCGCTGCGGGGTTGGGTGTGAGGCGGCTGATCCGTATGTGGTCGTTATCCTCGTAAAAAGGGTGAGTCGAGGGGTGGCCCAGTACGGAGGCGCTCCAGGGGTGCGGTACCTCCACCACTGCCGTACGCATGTCCCCGTAAATGACCAACCGCTTGATGCGTTGCTCCTGAGAGCATGTGTACGGGTAAAGTACGAGGTGAGTGTACGATTACACGCACGGATGAAATATGCACAAGGAGCGAGCAAGTGGTGGCTTGAGTGCGTGCGCACGTGTATGTATGTATGATTGTATGTATGTATGATTGTATGTATGTATGATTGTATGTATGTATGATTGTATGTATGTATGATTGTATGATTGTATGATTGTATGATTGTATGATTGTATGTATGTATGTCCAACTGAAAACACGTCACCAAGAGGGCAGCGGGAGATCCCCGCGAAGGGGACACGGGGGAAATGAAAACACACCCACATTCATTTTAGCGCCAAGAAAACACACACGTCCATGTCTCCATACATATGCTACAAGGATGCTGCCACCCAACCCCAACCCGGCTCCATCCACCCAGCACCTCCCATTCCCAAATCTCCTCCCCACCACACACACACACACACACACACTCACAAACCCTTTCCCCGCCCCAAACCCCCTCCCCCAATCACACAACTCCCCCCCCTTTCGCGGCTTCAGAAATCGGCAGTTGCCCCTCTGTTTTTCGCATCATATAATTTCCCCCTCTCCCTGCCATCCCCTCCCCCCACCCGCCACTCACATCGCCCCCGCCCCCCACTCACTTTCCCCCACTCACCCTCAAGAGCTCCAGGAACTTGGCGTAGCTGATTCGCATGTCACCCACCAGACCCGCCTGCGGGAGCACGTCCCCTGGAGAGAAAGAGGCAGTAGTACACAGCGGTAAGTACGGCAACACTTACAAAGCTGTACGAACAAGGACAAGGGGACATACAAACAAGAGGGACATACGGACGCCAGTTCTTCCGGATGGGTGCCATGGGGGGGATATGAGAGCCATTAACTCTACAAACACTGATAGGGACAACACCACCCAAAGCACCAAAACACGTATGCACGTACAACGCGAACCTGGCTCCACTACACGGCCCCCCAGGGAGGGGGACGTCAAGCCTGTCTAGGACCGACCGACCGACCCACCGACCCAAATCACCAAACCAGCTCATCTGCCATCATCTGCGAGCCCTTGTGTTTATGGAAGCGGGTCTACGCCCGTCCGTCCCCCCTACCTGTGCGCCCCCACGCATTCGCCCCCCTCCGGCCCCCATCCAACAGCGCACGTGGCACTTTGCCGCTTCTTGCACACAATTCATTAGCGCACGTCATCGCTCCTCCTGCCCCCCTCCCCCTCAACACGGGCTGTCCACTGCACCCCAGACGACAAACAGCTGTCGATATTGGTTCTCGCTCTCCCAGATTGCTTTGAACTCCGATCCAGGCAGATGGTGAACCTTGAATGGGCGTCGTCAGTCGGCAAGGAATATTTTTACCCCCTTTTTCCTTTTGCATATAATAATCACACGCACCCAGCCACCCCTTCCAGATGCTGCTGTCTCAACCCTCAAGTCCTCATGAGACTGGTCTCCGCTAGGGCTTTAGGGCTTTCCGGATGTAGCTCCGATTTTTTAATCGGAGACCCCGGCGGAGCCCTTGCTACTGCTGGTGTGGTGTATAGATGCTGCTGATCATGTCGCCGGGTGCTGTTTTCGCCTTCTAGGTGTTGCGGCAGAGAGTGAAAGAGTGCGGGTCGGTGGCTGAGAGAGGCAGGGGGAGCGAGCAAGCGCACTGATGTGGTCTCCTCACCACCACAATCCGCCATCCCCGCCGCCGCCATCCAAAGCAGCGCCCCCCGGCACCCCGGCTTCAGCCAGCCGTCTGGGCTCCCAGCTACTGCCGCCGCCAGGTGCGTCACCACCTTCCAGGTCAATGCCCCTTTAGAGGGCCCGTGACACCGCCAGGTCGCCAGGCCGCTGCCATTGCTACTGCCATTGCTACCGCCATTGTTACGCCTCTGCAAATGCAGCAGAGCAGCTGCTGCTGTTGCCTATTAAAGCAGCCTCTCTCAGGCAGGCAAGGCAGCCCCCCCCCCGCTCCTGCAATTGCCGCTGCTACTGCTGTGGAGTATGTATGAGGCACAGCAGCTGTGTTGCGTTACCCTTTGTTCCCGATTTTCTCCGCCTTTGCAGATGCAGCCAATGATGTCGTCGCGGCCAATCCAGCCCCAAAACGGACTGGCCAGTTCTGGGGGCATGCAACCGTCCCCCACCCAAGTTGCCAAAGTTGTCGCAGCAGCGCCAACAGCTTCCGGAAGGTACTTCGCCTGAAGGTACTTTCTTCGTCCTCCTCCTTGGCGCCCCGTACAACCAAAAATACGCCAAGCTCCGAAACCCCCACATAACCCCCCGGTGCACGACACATTCCCCCATACAAGCCCCCCTCTCCCATTCCCAACCCGGTTGCTTTAAAGCGAATCAAAAGCACGGCCGTGTGACCACAACCCAAATCAAAATTCGTACCAACTGACATATGTCGAAAAACACACAAAAGAGGGGGGGTTCCATCGCTCCTTCTCCCGGAGCGCTCCTCCTCCTCCCGGAGAGCGCTGGTGGTCCATCCCTCTCCCCGCCCAGCCCACGCACACAAAGATCGTTTTTCTTTCACTAAATTAGCGACCATCTTATTAATGATACATTTGCCGGTCTGCGTTTCAATTTATTGCCAGGTTAAGGTTATTTAATCCCTTTCTAAAAACCAAAACACCAAATGCTAACCAGCCTGCATAAGCCAAGTGCATGTGTGCATATGTGAGACCACGTGTATGCATTACAGCTCTTTTCTTTAAGCGATAACCAATCAAGTGGTAAAGCACCCGTAACACACTCACTGTATTGGATGCGGTCAATCAGCTTGTTCCAAAAAATGGCGGGCTCGTTCCGAGCAATAGCCTCCCGAAACCGGATCCAAAGCTCCGGATCCCAAACTGCCGACAGATCCACACCCGTAACGCCGTATGTCCAGTCCATGAACGTGACTTGCTCGTCCACCTGCCGTACAAGCTGTGCCGCCTGCGGCCCGCCCAGGATGCTCCGAACCTGCTCGCCGTACGTGGCAAAGGACTGCTGCCAGGCGGGATCGTTTAGCAGCGGTAGCGACAGCGCGGCCAGCGGGGAGAGCGCCATTGCCGCAAGCTGTCCACGGTGTGGCGACAGGAGGGAAGAAGGGCCGACAGTAATTGGGGGTGAGGGGACGACGACCAGGCGGAAAACGCGTTTACATGCCGACAGCGGCCGCAAGTCAAGCAGTGAATGCGGCTTGTAAAGGGTATCAATACAACGGAATGAGACGCGCAGCTTAATACGGGCCTCACAGCTACGGCCAAATATCCAATATTGGATAAGGGGGCTGGTTTGGATTAGGGGTTTAACAGAGCGGTGGACCAGAAGCGGAATTAGGGAGGGGGAGGACGCGTTCAAGCTAAGAAAGGCAAAGATCGGGGAAATGATTGGCGTTTACGGTGGGCGGCGTGGGAGCGGGGAAAAGAACGTCGGCAGGAAAAGCCGCAGGTAATGTACGGGCGTGGCAGGTAATGCACGTGGCTCCAGCACTCCGGCACCAGCAAGACAACCCAAATGACAAGGCGGCTAAATCTCACCTGCCGTTTGGGAATACCCCTATATACTGACTCGAGATCAGCATCTTGGTGCCCCTCAGTCGCTGGTCGACGGACGGTCTGCATAAAACGTCAACACATTTTCAAGTCAAGACGTGCCGGCTGAGGAAAGCATATGCGCTGTCCGCAGCGACCATGGTAGGGCAATTCCATTATAGTCACGAGAGAATAGAGATCCAGGAGAGCTGACGTACCCATCGAGAACAGTGCACCCTGTTTTGCTCATTACTCCGCCACGAAAAGCTTCGGCCAGCGCTTTGCCATGCTCGAACTGGCCTATGACTGACGCAATTTTGCCAAGGATGCAACGAATGCGAGGTAGATGTCGCGTTGGGAGCAGAGCACGGCGGCCGGGAGGTGCCGGCCGCCTGCATGGTCAGCTGCGCGGATCAGACGCCTAACACCCTGCTACTTGGCCTGCAAAATTCCATGTGAAATTGGTATGAGTCATAAATATTGTTCTATCCTACTGATAATACTGAGGTGTAAGCTATTCAACACAGCAAATTTGTCCCCCGCGCAAAGCGCGATCACATCTGCCTACTAAGGGACCTAAGCTCTACACAATAGAATGAGGAACATGATCATCGGCTCGCCGTGGCGACGAACGTACGAAACCGTTTTTTCGGTAGTCGTTACAAATCGATCGATGTGATCCTTGATACTTGTTTATTGACATCTTGAACTTCAGAACTTAAAGAGACATATATTATCTACAGGTGCACATATTGGAGCAACAGGCTGCCTTCGTAGCTGTTACGGAGCACAAAACTACCTGTATGGATCGTTTGGAATGCCATACTGGCCGAGGGCAATTTGGAAAACCAATCTTCACCTTGCACCTAACTCTCCCAATTTCGGTCAGCCTAAGAACTAAAACTCTCGTGAACAAAAAAATGGTAGTCAGTGGCGATTTCCAACCCTTTCATTGTCGGCCCCCTAGGGCCCCCTCACAGGCGCAAGCTTGGGTTGGTGGACTCCATGGGCCCTGAGGACCCTCAGCCGGACCTTCCATGGTTTCCCCTCTTCACCTGACCAGTGGCCTGCTGGCCATCCCAAGCTCAATCCTCTGCACGGCCGCCTGATTGGCACGCCACCAAGATCAGCCAAGATATCGCTGATGTACCCGTAGTCCAACCTAACAAAACCCAATTTCTACTTTGTTCAGGCACGTGCACTTTACATTTACATCACCTAGGACATCGCCGTCCGTGGACTGTTACCTTTCCACCTCCTGCGCCCTGGCCACTGGGCCGCCCAGGAGGACCCTCTTGAGAAGCTCAGAACCCTCTCAAGCACCTCCATGAGCTGATGCATGCACCTGATGACATCTGGGGGTTATCAGGATGAGACCATCCACAGCTTCTGATGGGGTTCTTTGCAGCATGTTGATACACAACAGGGTTTTGATGGGTTGCAACCCCTCCACACTGCAAATAGTGCAGTCTACTACAGCTCTACTGACATTCCCACCGGCGGCAGGTGGGACGCCGGGCGCAGCCTGTCCTACCCTTAAGTTACACTCCCAGCATCACATGTTTATACTGGCGAAGCTAGGCAGACCACCCATCCATTCTCTTTTGGATACTGTTTGAGACTTGTGTAGTAATATGCCCGGAGATTTGGCAGCCTGCCTAATGGGGCGAACAGTGTTGATCCAAGTGGAGCTGTACTCCCTGGCAGTGCGGATCTGGCTGTGTCTTGTGAGGTCTGTGCAACCCAAAACGCACGGTTTGCTGTAAAGAAAGAACACCATTCCCAGCTTTGGTTGGTGTTCATCCGGATGCTGCCCAGGCAGTATCCGGTGCAAAGAATGTAGTTACCCAAAGCGGAGCTGCCCGGCAGCTCCTACAAGAACCCCAGCTCATCTGGGTGCAGAGGGTGGGGTCATAGATGCCCTGGCGGGGCCCACTTGACAGTCTGTATGCCATGCAAGTGGGACAGGAGCGGGCCGGGATTGCCAGCAGAAGGCCACTGATCGGGTGAAGTGGTGAGGGGAATGAGGCCACGGAGGAGTAGTCTGGGCCCACGAAGTGTGCCAACTCTTGCTTGCCGGCACCATAGCCATGCTGAGGACCAAATCAATCACGCTGTGTGCACAGCAGTTCGTGTAGCAGCACCCGCATGCCTAGGGGGCAAGGAGCGATGGCACGCACAACCGGCACATGCTTCCCGCTGCTTGGGCACAACCACCAGCAATTTAAGCTCTAAGACTGTTTAAGTGGTCATAAATAAACCCTCTTTAACCTTTAATCTGCGTAATCAGTCTATTGGCCTTCTGCCAGAAGGTGATCCTTGGCGTGGCGCTGCAAAATTTCAGGTGGTTACCCATAGGGCCCACGGCTACTATGCTTTGCACAAGCCGTTCAGGACCAACTGCGACTCCTGCGCTTCCGGACGTTACACCAGGAGGCGACGTTACCCAAGACAAAACGTAACAAATGACTTGAAAGATTAGAAAAGAAAACTAATCCGGGCCCAGTAAACGAATTTTTTTGTGGCCCACGGGGACGCAACAAGGACATTTCTAGCTCCTCATTCACAGAATGGCAGCGTTAAAAGATCATCCAGTAATCAAGAAGGTCCAGGAGGAGCTTGTGTGCCCTATCTGCCTGGAGACAGCGCAGCTTCCTGTGAATTTCACGTGCTTTCGAGGCTGCGGGGGGAAATTCTCCAACAGTAAGTAAACGGCTTAGGCCAAATGACGCGCATAGCCTGACCATGTGGACGTGGGAAGCTTGCAACTGCACCCGAAGTGCGAAGTCAACGGTGTGAAGAAGGAGCCCCGGAAGAGCTACTTGAGACACATTTTAGGAAAAAAACCTTTTTTGCATGCATCTTTCCTTCGAAAACGACTCAGCACTGAGCATCAGAACGGCTCATAACTAACTGTGCCCTTTCCGTTTAAACCTGCCACCTACCCTTCCTGCTCCTGAAGAGCAAACAAAATGGAGCTACGGCTTCAGTAATGAACTTATTCAATCGTCTTCCTCTGTAGACCTTGGACCTTGTTATTTGTCTTCGTGCTCAAACCCGTGCGTTACCGACTTGCCTGTGAATGGAAAGATCTCTACCAGATTGCACAATGCTCTTCTTCATCTTGACTAAGTTAGTGTTTGCCTGCTTTGGGGTCTACTCGGGTGTAAATAGCTCACCTGGCAGCCGCATATCGTTATCTTCCGTTCTTGTTTCCTACCCAGACAGCCCACGCCGCCGGCAGGGTTACACCTCGACCCTTTAGTCAATGCACGCCACAAATCCACAGGCGCATCCTCCTCCTCCTGCATCTCTCCAATACTCTGCGTCTGTACCTGTCTGTGTTCCCCGCTCCATGACCTCCATCCCCCTCCCCCTCTCCCCCCCTCCTCTTTACGCTCCCTCTCCCCAATAAAATGACCCAAATGACCCATATGCCGTCATCCTCCCCGGCATTTCGCCATTCCCCCTACAACCTCCTCTTTCCCCAAACACAGCATGTCATCATCCATTCCCCCATGAATGCCTCCCTTCCCCTTCCCCCCACGCACCTCCCCTAATCCCCATCAGCGTCCCTCCTCCCTCTTCCCCTTTCCTCTGCCTTCGCCCGTCCTTTCCTCATCGACCCCCTCTCCCCCATGTGCTCCCCTCCTCCGCCCCCGCAGACAGCACCTGCCTTCGCAGCGTACTCTGCCTCCACTGCGCCAACGACGCGCTGCACCTGGGCCGTCCCCCGCCCAGCCGCTTTCCCGACAGCGGCGGCTTCGCCCACTGCCTCATTTGCAGGGAGACCCGCGTGGATGCCCGCATGCTGACACCGGACAACGCCTACCTGGTCAATCACAACGTGGCGGCCATCATGGACGCCCTGGGACTGGGGGCGGTGTGCAGGTGAGGGTGCTGGTGGGGTGTGTGGGGTGGGGGTGGGGGGAGAGGGGATGTTGAGGTCGTGGATGGGGAGCCGCGACGACCGGAAGGGAGTGCATGTGGTGGTGATGGTGGTGGTGGTGAGGAGGAGGAGTCCCGCGTGTCACTGGTATGCCCCGTTACTTCTACGCCCTTTGCAGTCTGCGGTCGAGTTATGCGGTTTAGTTTTAAGCCACACGGCTGGGTCAATGTGCGGCGTTCCCTTTCTTACCTCCCATTGTCCCTTGTCCCTTGTTTCTTGATAACCCTCGTTTCCTCCGAAGGCGCTGCGATGAGGATCACGAGTCCCAGTCAGCTCTGCACCAGCACTACGTCCGCCGCTGCCCCGCCGCCGTCGTCAAGTGCCGCTTCCGGAGCTGCGCGCACTGGCACACCCGCAGCGCTGCACCCGAACACGAGGCTACATGTCCCGTGGGTCGTTCTCCATGTGGGCAGTGCGGCGTGTGGGTGGACCGAACCGACCTGCTGCGACACATGGTGAGATGGGGTGGGGTGAGGTGGGGTACTATGCAGGCGCACTCAGCCTCGCTCATGCGCACTTCCCTTCCCTGCGATGCCCCCTCGCACTACTCGCCCCTTGCCATTCCCTCCTAGGGGACACTCAACACCACACCACACCACCGCCGTCCACACACACCGAACTCCACTTTGGACGCCGGCAATTCATTTTTCTGAGATCTTTACATCATGTGATCATTTCTCCCCCCCCCCCCCGGTCACCCAACAGGTGACCACGTGTCGACTGCGTATCGTGAACTGCATGCTATGCAAGCACTCGGCTCTCCTGCCAGACATGTTGGAGCACCTGAGGCTGCACAAGAGGCAGCTCCAGGGCCAGGCGCGAGCGCGCGCAGCAGCAGCGGCGGCGGCGGCGGCGGCTAATAACACTGCCAGCATGGCGGCGGCGGCGGCAGTGGGCTCTGTCGTACCGGCCGCGGGGGAGCCGAAACCAACAGAGGTACCGACCGGAGGAGCAGGTGTACACGTCGCAGCCGCGGCAGCAGTGGGCATGGCGGCGGCGGCGGCAGCGGTGGTTCCGGAGCAGCTGGGCCGTTTGCAATCATCTGGGGTGGTACGGCCCTCTACTCGGACGGTGTATTCCGCTGATGGTCGCCTTCCGCAGCAGCAGCAGCAGCAGCTGCAGCACCAGGCGACTGCTCTGACGCAGCTGCAGCAGCAGCAGCTGCAGCAGCAGCAGGTGCAACAGCAGGCGCAGCAGCTGCTGGAAATGCTGCGCCGCCAGCAGCAACAGCTGCTACTGCGGCTACAGACCCAAACGCAGACGCAAGGGCACGCTCCGGGGTTCGGCACCACCACCACCGCCGCCGCCGCGGCCGCCACCACTACTGCCACCAGGGCCCCACCGCCGATATCCACCGCCATCTCAGCGGCGCACACGCAGCCAGATCGCGCACCTGTCGGACCACTGTCACAGCAACTAACTAACCAACCTCTCAACAACCAACTGCAGCCCCAAAACCAGCAGAGCCGTGGCAGCATCTGCCTCCCCGGCGACCTGGCGGCGGCGAGATTGGCCTCGTTGTCCTTGGCCGGTCTTGGCCGACCCTACGCCGACGGGGGAAGTGCTGGCGCGATTGCCGCCGCCGGCGGCGGTGGCGGCGGCGGCGGTAGCGGGGCCCTTTCCAGTGCCCATTCGAGTGCAGCCCTCACAACCCTGAGGCTGCCTTTACCAATACCGTTTCCGCAGCCACCGGCGGCAGTAGTGTCTGCGGCATCGGAAAGACTCCCACCGCCAGTACCACCGCCACCAGCAGCAGCAGCAGCAGGGGCAGGTGTGGCGCAGAGGGACGTTGGCTGGCAGAGCGACAGCGGCACCGCGCAACAGATGCGGATTTCTATGGCCATAGCGTCAGAGGGCGCCGGCGTCAACGCTGGTACGGATGGAATCCGCAGCGGCAGCCGCAGCGCTCGCGGCGGCGACGGCGGCGGCAGCAACGGCGGCGGGGGGACGTTGCTCGAGGTGCCGTCGGCACGGGCGGCGGCGGCGGCCGCGACGTTTGAGGCGGCGCTGCGGCGCACATCTTCGCTGGTGGCCTTTGGGCAGAGGCGTCTTGAGCAGCTTCTTGCGGATATGGGAGGCGAAATCGGGGGTGACGGACGCGGCGGCAGCTCCCGAGCAGACATCGTACACCGCCGGGGGGCATTTTGGCCGGCGGAGCTGGATGACACGGCCGGCGGCGGCGGCGGTGGCGCTGGGTACATGTACGATAGGCGGCGTGGTGGGGACGCTGCCCCGGTCGAACAGGGCGCTGCTGGCTGTTCGTCAGAAGCGGCGGACGAAGCTGCGCGCTTGGTACGCACTGCCGCTGCCATCGTACGTGCCTCCGCAGCGGCTTCGGAGCGGCGGAGTCAGCGGCAGGTAAGACCTCTAGGGTGCTGGTTTCGGAGCCCATTTGGAGCATGTAAGGGATTTTACCGGTAGTGGGTGAAGTTTGGGTGAGGAGGTTTCCATGCCACTCTATGGCGATGCAGGTGACCCGGGTGGTGGCGAAGGAAGGGCGCACCTCACCTGGGGGAGGGTACGTGGCCCAGGCACGTAGGTGCTGGGCAGGCGCATCCCGCACCATCTCTTTACTTGTTCACCGGTTGTGTTTGTCAGACCATGCAGCAGCTGCTGCGGTTCGGGAACAATGAACCCCACCCCACCCCACTTCTGAAGGGGTCTGTGCCGCAGTGGCTCTGCATTAATTTCTCATCGGTACGCCGCATCGTGTTGCGCTGGGCTGGTTTCGGAGCCCTTCTTGCTACTCTAAAATCCCGCTCTCGACACTTTGCCCCGCGTTTGTAACACTCAACGGCACACACACCACAAACCCGCCAAGCACAAGCTCCCAAACCACGACAGCCTTCTCTTCTTTCTCTCTCCTTTTGTTCTCCATGTCCTTCTACATCTCCCCCCTCCTCTCCCGTCCCCCCTTATCCCCCTCCCGCCTTCCGCCTCCTCACCCTACCTCCCCCACCCGCTTAGATGGCACTGACAGCAGGGGGAGTCGCTGCCGGTGGTGGTGGACCCGCGGCCACATCCACCACCTCTTTCAGCGTCAGCAACAGCAGCCTGGTCCGGCCCGCGTCACTGTCGCCGTCGTCATCCGCAAGAGGAGATGCCGCGGAGATGGCGGC